TATATATATATATATCTATACACACACACACAGAGAGCTGAGTAGTAACTGATTACATGAAATCTGGATTAAGTAATCAGATTCCAAAAATTAAGTACTTGTAATTACATTAAATTATATTTACTCGTAATCAGACTGCAGTTACTTTTTTATTGATAACATATTATTCACATAATAGCAATTAATTATTCATAATTTATAGATTCTCCCTAATTCCTTTTTTTCATCTTTTAAATGTTCCTTTCTACAATAGCCTACCACTTATATACTCTTCCATATAATATAAGTCTTCCAGTTTTGTGGACCTTCACACAAAGACTAGTCACTAGTCAGGTGGCTACACAGCATTTGACCACTGGATTTACAAATATAATTTCATGTTTAAGAAGTGTTTCAACATTGCATCAACTACTGATGAACACAATCTTTTTTTCTTTTTTTTAACGTACCATTATGTCTTTGGGAGGCTTTAAAACACATTACAATGCACAAATTCACGTTATTTCTTATTTGCATGTAATGCAGGAATTGCCAAACTTTCATCTGAACCTCTTTCACCTATATTTACTCAAAATAAAATAAGTATTTTAATAATTAACTATCACATTTGCATGTTCCCGGGTCTTTGACATTGATGCAGGTAAACAAATAAAATACTGAATTTTTAAATAAATGTTTTATTTTGATTTATGTTATTTTAAAATTATTTACTTCAAGTTTACATGTTAATGATTATTATAGTATCAATAAAATCATAGTATGTAGTAAGCCATTATGAGTGTGATTTTTTTTTATATTACAAAAAATAATTACTCACCACTGCAAACTCATCTTTGTCCAAGTGTCCGTCTTTGTCTATGTCACTCAAATCCCACACCTGATCAGACATTTAATACTAATAATTTTATATTACATTTTTCATAAACATTTTATTAAATGATTACTATTATAATGTATTTTACTATAAATATTATCTTAATTTTCATTATCTATTGAAAGTTTACCTTTCCGAGCACATCCACAGGAAGTTTGGAGTTTATTAGTACTGGTTTGACCTTCTCACCAGACAGTAATCCGTTCACTGGGGCAAGACTTTCAAAAATACCATCAAATTTGCTCTTCTCTTCAGGCTAAAAAATAAACATGAAGAGGATTTATTATAGGATTTATAATAAATCTTCATCAAATCTTTTGTAATATGTAGTGACAATGAGAAGCTCATAGGATAAACCATGGAAATAGCTTACCCGCACCGCCCAGAGGCTCTCATTGGTTGATGTTACAGAACTCAGTGACGGGCTACTGTGGTCCTTCTAGAACAGAGATGAGAAACCTGTGAGCTCATACTGCCTGGAAAACTATGATATCAGCTCTCAGCACTGACACTTACGAATTTTGGAGGGGGAACAGGGAGGTTTAGACAGGAAAGGCTGATGTCGTGTCCACTCTGCGCACAGGCCACAAGTCGCAGAGCAACGTAGAATCCCTGAAAACAAACCACAAGCGATTCAAGTCAGCATCCAGTTTCAGATCCCGACTGATGCTCTTATAAACCATGAAAGCTTTACCTGTTTATCCAAAAAACCTTTGCCATCCGGATCAGCTAAATCCCAGATCTGACAAGCAGATAATTACAGATTATGATTATCCAAGCATCATTTCGCAACAAGTTTTACCCAAACACCAACCTTTCCTAATGTGATGTCAGGCAGGCCTGATTTCTTCAAAAACAAGGCAGCCTCTGTAGGTCCAACCCTCCCGGTGTTTCCCGGGTCCACCTTCAAAAAACACACATAAAGATGATGAAATATAGCCCGACTGATTTATCGTTTTGCAGATTTTATCGGCCGATATGAGCCTGTCGCAGATATATCGTTATCGGCATATATGCCGCAGATATGCCACCAATATGAAATTTTTTTTTACAGAACAGATAACGCAGATAAAATGCTTGTAAATGGTGTAATTACTTAGTTTGTCCAGCAGAGCGCACTCCATTGTTTGCTACTGGCGACCCAGGTCACTGAAGTGACACCAGCCGACCCTTTCACTTCAGTAAGGAGGTCTCTTGTTCAGGCAGCAGCAGACAAGCAGTCAAGTGGTGTCTTCACGACTCAGAGTCAAGCGTTGTCTTAACGGTAAGTTGCTAACTAGTTTGTGAAATACATAACTTACTGTAAAATTAATAAACAATGACCCCATAAGTGTCCCTTTTCAATACAAGTCCAATATAACATTAACCCCGTCCCTCAAATCTGCCATGTCACTCATGCTTATCACATCGGTCTCATCACATTTCCTAAGTCAGCTTAATTTGTCAGTACAGTCAGTAACGCAGCAGATTGAAAAGTTTGTATCTTTCTGCAGTACAATAGACAATAAATGGTGATTTCGCGCTATGTTGTCACCTAGTTGGTGAGACGCAATGCTATAAAGTAAATAAACAATGTCCCCGACTTTTACTCTCACAATGAGCTTATCATACTCGTTTGCTACATGAATAGGTCCCTATGATTTCCGCGATGCAGAAAACGTGGACGGAATCGCAGAATCCAGTCATAAAAACAGAATTTACTGAATAACATGGAATTTGTCATTTCTGATGAATAAATAAATAACAGGTCAGTACATTTAAATCAAATCGTGATTATAGACTAGCGTCTGTGAATATTAAACTGCAAAAAGACTATTTAAATACGAATCCTCATGTTCTGCATGTTCATTTGATTACCAGAAAATACACAACACGGAATTTTTGTTCAGTGCACTGATGTCAGACTCATTTTGGATAATAAAAGTTTATTGTTAAATACTCTTCCTCCATTACATATCTTTGTCACATCATTATAAGCGTTTCATCACCACATTTTGAGTGATCATTGCAAAAAATGTGTTTATGTAGATATATTGTTTATGTAAATACTGTATTATATATACAGTACCAGTCAAAAGTTGACACACGAATGTAAAATGTCCAAACTTTTGACTGGTACTGTACACAAAGAATATCGGCCGATATATCAATATCGGATTTTGTTAACTCCCTAATATCGGCGGCGGCCCCCAAAAACCCATATCGGTCGGGCTCTAGCTTTTTGTTCCAGAAAAGATTGATATACTATAAAACCGATCACTATGTGTTCGCCAACAGAATTATGGTCTTACCTGTCTGTAAAAGTTCTCATATACAGGGTTCCCGCTTGACAGCTAAGAGAGTGAGGAAAAGAAAGAGAAATAATATTACTTAATAATAATTTATTAATAATAATTAGTATTACGATTAGGTAATATAATGCACAGCGCTGTTATTGTTAACTAAAACTGTTAAAAATGGTTAACATTAATTGAAACAAAATAAAATATATAAATATTAGACGAAAAAAAAACGTCTACTTTTTATTTTTAGGTAGTTGCCAAGGCAAGTTTTCTAGTATTTGTTAATTTTGTAAAGTTGGAAGACCAAAATTACTAAAACTAAACTGAAATGAAAAGAAATTAAAGCTAAATATAAGTATAGTGTATATATATATATATACTCATAACAAAATTATTAAACTGAAAATATAAAAGTAAAAGCTAATTTAAAATATGAATAACAACTATAATATTAAATAAATAATACTACACACAATACAATAATGCAATAAAATAATGCTGTTGATATACATCATTTTTTATATATATATTCTGATGTGTTGTGCACATAATTGTGTTTAACACAATTGAATCCATTACTATTCATAAGGCAGTATATAGTCAGGTTACTGAAACTTAATAAATTAAAGCTAAATATAAATATTTAAACAACAAAAAATAATATGACAACGCACATAACAATATTATTAAAAATGAACTAGAATTAAAATAAAAACTGAAAATATAATAGTAAACGCTCATTCAAAATATTAATAACTACTATCATATATAATACCAAATATAAATATTACTACAATAACAATGACAAATGCAATATTATAAAAATAAAAATGTACATATAAATAATACTAAACAATGAAATGCAATGTAATATAATAATTGACGTAATGAGGTTTTTTTTGCATTTATTCTAATATGTGTTGTGCATACACCTGTATTTAATATACAATTCAATCCATTACAGTTCATAAGGCAGTACAGTGAGATTACTGACGCTCACTAATTCCCATCGCCGCTCAGCTAAACTAGCGGTTCAACATCCGTTATCACGTACAGTATGAGAGCTAACATCTATACTATAATGTTGTTCATAACCATTTAGCAACTTTTATTATTGTACTATGAACACATTCTGAAATTATGACTTTATGCGTAAAGCGCCCTGACAGTTAACGTTAGTTTTTTTAGCGCTTATGATGTTCTGATATATCGCGGCTAGCTATTTGCATTTGTTAAACTTTGTTTACTGTATTTCTCATTCATATAAATGGCAGTTATCTTTACATGTTCTTGCTACTGAATGTTTATCGAAAATTTCATTGAAAACGACATTGTTATTTTCGTATTTTAAGACGTGCATGCGATTTAAAGCGAGCTAATCAGTTAGCAATCTGAGCCCGATCTACGAGGCCCGGGAGATTTTCGCTTTAAATGTCGATAAAACGGCCCGGTAGCGCAAGTAACGGGATCGATTCGTATCTATTTCTTAGATTTATTTCTGCATGATGATGGTTTTCCTCATTATTGCTTTGAAATAAGTGTTTTTAGCTGGTATTACCTGAGTGAGGGTCGCGAGGGCCGCCATCTTTTCCCTGTTGCTGCGGAAACGGCGGGTGAGGGAATGAGGGGGGGCTGAAACAGATCGGAATGTTCATCCATTCACACAGACTCTAATTATAATAATAATAATAATTATTATTATTATTATTATTATTATTATTATTAACAATAAATAACAACAACAATAATAAGAATAATAAAAATAAGAATAATACTAACAATAATAAGAATAATAACGACAACAACGATAATAATAATAAATGTTTTCTTGGGAACTAACTAAAATAAAAAACGTTTAATCTGGAGTATTAAAATTCAATTTGAAATAAAAAATAAATTAACGTTAAATAGACATATTTAAAATAATACTGAAAAAATCAACAATGAAATAAAAATAATACAATAAAATTGTAATCAAATAACAAAATCACATAACAAAATTGTTGAAACTAGAATTAAAATGAAAACTAAAAATATAAAAGTAACGGTTAATATATAATTAAATATTATACTACTGTACTAAAATAATATTGATAATGCAATATTATAATAATGTACGTAATTAATCATTTGTTTATTCTAATATGTGTTGTGCACATAACACTATTTAATATACAATATATTCCATTACAATTCATAAGGCAGTATGTAAAAGTAATAATAATAATAATAACTTACAAAGAATAAATAATGTATAAAAGCAAATTACAACTTAAACTTAATCAATAATATTGCAGGTAAATTAGAGGGTTTTAAGGCAGTCCTCAATTTTAAGTTGCTTTAAGGATTGACAAAAAATGTTTTAAATGGAACAAAATTTGGAGAAACTTTAACAAATCTATATATTTCTGTAAATAAAACTGACATATAATCAAAAAAGTATGGGTGCGTAGTAACCCGGCAAGCTTTTAACACCTGTCACTAGGCTAATAATTTACATTTTGGCCTATAGTTTAATTTTTTTTTAAAAACATTAAACTGAATGCATTTACATTTAGTCATTTAGCAGAGGTTTTTATCCAAAGCGACTTACAAATTAGGACAATGGAAGCAATCAAAATCAACAAAAGACCAATGAAGTGCTATAACAAGTCTCAGTTAGCTTAACGCAGTACACGTAGCAAGGGTTTTTTAAATAATATAATAAATAAAAAGAAAACAGATAGAATAGAAAACAATAGAGCAAGCTATAGACTGTAAAAAAAAAAATCCGTAAAATGTACGGTAAAAAAACGGCAGTTGTGGTTACCGGAATTTTACCGTAAAAAATATGGTAGCAATGTTTTAGGTTTTACGGTTTTAACTTAAATTTACAGTTAAATACCGTAATTTCATTAACTGATATAATGTTAATATACCAACCTATTGAAGTGCTAGACTGTAAAAAAAAAATCCGTAAAATGTACGGTAAAAAAACAGCAGTTGTGGTTACCGGAATTTTACCGTAAAAAATATGGTAGCAATGTTTTAGGTTTTACGGTTTTAACTTAAATTTACAGTTAAATACCGTAATTTCATTAACTGATATAATGTTAATATACCAACCTATTGAAGTGCTGAAATCTGTTTTGTACCTTTGTAATACACTGATAACCACCAAATGCAGGTGGTGATGAGAAAGTCACATGATGAACCAAAGCCCATCACAAGCAGCTTTTAAATAATAACATATATAGAAGGTGCACAGTGTCATTCACACAGACACTAAACACCATCATGATAACACACGACACTGAAATAATGCAATAAACATTCATTTAACAACACTAGGTGTAACACACAACCCTAATATACAAAACTGATAAGAAAAAACTAAGAAGAAACAGTTATTTCAACAAAAAAACATCAAATTTGAAATGTAACGCAGGGAATTCTGGGAACGTCAATTTACGGTTATTCACTGTAAATTATACAGTCTTTTTCACTTCCAAAAACGGTATACTACCGTAAAATTAATGTCCAATACATGTAATGTCCAATACAGTTTTTCACTGTATATAGTAGGGGAATTTACCGTTAACCATTTAACAGGTTTTTACTGTAGCATTTTTACAGTCTTTTACCGTTAAATTCACAGTCATTTTTTACAGTGTAGTGTTAGAGGTCTTTTTGCTTTTGTTAATTATAATAATTTAAAACAAGCAGCAAATGAATAGAGTGCAAGTCTAAAAGGGACAAGAATTCTAATTCTATTAAAGAATAGAATTAGAATAGAGAGTGCTAGAGTTAGAGGGTCAAATAAAGATGGAAGAGATGTGTTTTTAGCCGATTCTTGAAGATGGCTAAGGACTCAGCTGCTCGGACTGAGTTGGGCGGGTCATTCACCAGGAGGGAACATTTAATTTAAAAGTCTGTGAAAGTGATTTTGTGCCTCTTTGGGATGGCACAATAAAGCGACGTTCACTTGCAGAACACAAGTAATGAATTCAGGTAAAAGGGTGCAGAGCCAGTGGTGGTTTTGTAGGCAAACATCAATGCCTTGAATTTTATGCCAGCAGCTAATTAATCTTAATAATTAACATTAATTAATGTTAATGATTAAGGAGCTTAATCTTAACATTAATCTTCCCTTTCCAGCGAAACTAGAACAGTTCAAATATAAATGTAAGTATCAGCAAACTCTTCAAAATATCAGCAAGTGACTTAATTTTTTCAAGCAACAAATTTGCAATTTTGTGTGCAGAATATTTTATTTTATATTTTAATATTATCCGTTCGTGTTGATCCATGAAATCAGAATAACATTTTATTAAAGGTATTCAAAGCAGTTAGGGTCACAAATATACTATTACTATTGACATTATACTGTTTTTTTATTATAAACAACCTCAAAAAACTTAATCCACGTGTTCAATAGTAAGATCAATTCTCATATTATCGACTCTAGCCATTCAAAAACACTCCGCAAGCTTGCGGGTCCGGTTCCTCTCTTCCGATTGGTCGAGCGCCCCTCGCAACTGGATTCCTATTGGTTGAGCCGCCCTTCTGCAGCGCCCCGCCATTGGAACCTGGAAACAGCGCCACAATTTATTTTCGAGTTGTTGCGTCTGCTGAATGCGTTCGTCTTGTATTTCATTGTTTATTGACAACAACTGATATTTCTCAATTTTCTGACAAGCCAAACGAGTTTAATTATTAACTCACGGGTCGTTACACGCGGCTTGGCGCGGTTAATACCGCTTGAAAGACTGGAAGGACAGTTTTAACATGTGTGGTCCGTTTTAACGCTCACAGTGTTTAGATTAAAACACGACGAAGGCATGAGCGAAGCGTTCAAACAGCCTAAAGGTAAGATATTATATACCCTACATCAGTTATAAGTATCTCTGAACCATAAGTTATAGGTTTTTACGGGTTTTTAATAGTATTGCCACGTTAGCATGTATTAATCTTAATAATTAACATTAATTAATGTTAATGATTAAGGAGCTTAATCTTAACATTAATCTTCCCTTTCCAGCGAAACTAGAACAGTTCAAATATAAATGTAAGTATCAGCAAACTCTTCAAAATATCAGCAAGTGACTTAATTTTTTCAAGCAACAAATTTGCAATTTTGTGTGCAGAATATTTTATTTTATATTTTAATATTATCCGTTCGTGTTGATCCATGAAATCAGAATAACATTTTATTAAAGGTATTCAAAGCAGTTAGGGTCACAAATATACTATTACTATTGACATTATACTGTTTTTTTATTATAAACAACCTCAAAAAACTTAATCCACGTGTTCAATAGTAAGATCAATTCTCATATTATCGACTCTAGCCATTCAAAAACACTCCGCAAGCTTGCGGGTCCGGTTCCTCTCTTCCGATTGGTCGAGCGCCCCTCGCAACTGGATTCCTATTGGTTGAGCCGCCCTTCTGCAGCGCCCCGCCATTGGAACCTGGAAACAGCGCCACAATTTATTTTCGAGTTGTTGCGTCTGCTGAATGCGTTCGTCTTGTATTTCATTGTTTATTGACAACAACTGATATTTCTCAATTTTCTGACAAGCCAAACGAGTTTAATTATTAACTCACGGGTCGTTACACGCGGCTTGGCGCGGTTAAT